AGTGGTTTCTTTTTTTCTTTTTGGTCTGGGGATTGAACCCAGGATTGCTTTACCTCTGAGCTACATCCGCAGTCCTTTTTATTTTTTATTTTTTTATTTTGAATTAGAATTTCACTAAATTGTTTAGAGCTTTGCTAAATTGCTGGGGTTGTCCTTGAACTTGTGATCCTCTTGCCTCAGCCATGAGATTAAGTGTGCAGGCACCTGACAAAATGGTTTCTTTTAGCAATTTTTGGACCTCATCTAAATAGTGAGGGTTCACAGATGCAGTTTAAAGTTGATAAATGAAAGGTTGATAACTGTAAGAGTTGAATTCTTGTAGTCTTTTTGACAAAAGAGAATTTGCTGCTTTTGTGTGTGTTGGGGTGCTTTTGAAGAATTAAATGAGCCATCAGTTTGGTAAAGAAAAAGGCAGTCTTTTATTTATTTACATATTTGTGTTTGTAGATATAGAAGTTTTATTAAAACTATACTTTTAATACCTAGAATAGGAACTATGTAAAATAGGTATTAGTTTTTTAAAATTAATCTGGCAGGCAGATAATATCTAACTTGTTCTTTACTCTAGACCCCTTCCTTCCAATCATTAGTCCTTTTCAACTTGGAATTTATTTCCTTAGAAGTCATGTATGTTATAAATGGGTAAATTAGTTTTCATGCCAATCTGGTTCAATCTTGTGTTAGGCCCCGTAGAGATTATATATAAAGAAGTATAAAACATAGTCCCTTTCCTCAAGAAGCTTGATGTATCTAGTTAGGCAGTTATTGCACAACCAATATAAGAAAGTAACTACCAGGTATTTTTCTTTGCCCAAAACAAATGCATCTGTACCTTGTATCAGAGGGATCTTTTAGAGAGAGAGAGAATCTTTTTTGTAGATGGACACAACACAATGCCTTTATTTTTTCTGTGGTGCTGAGAATGGAACATGGATTGCGCCCGCCTGTGCTAGGCAAGTGCTCTACCACTGAGCCACAATCCCAGCCCCTCAGAGGGATCTTGAAATACAAATCTGATCAAGTCTCCTACTTGATATCCTTCAAGACTTCCTAAATATCCTCAGCTGTTAACATGGTCTTAATGTGAGCTATAACCATATAAGTGCTCAGTCTTATAACTCCAGATGCTTTGACTTTGCTATAATCCTTTCGGTATGCCAAGTTCTCTTCCTTTTCATGTGCCAGTGCTCTGGCCACCATTAAAGATCTAGATCAGTCAAAACAATGGAGTTCCTACCTAGTCTCTACCTTAAATTCTTAAGTGACTCTGTGCACGTTACTTAGTTTTTTAGTTTCTTAAGTTTCTCCAACTTAAGGTACAAATGACCTCCAGGCCCTTTCAGTTCTAAATTGTGAATTTTCCAGAAGCCATTTTGATAGGAAGATAATGGAAGTCAGCACATTCAGCTGTGGCTATTAACTACAACTGTGGCTATTAACTACAACTCACCTCTAAGTATATGGTATATATTTGTTTCTCACTCTTAACATCTTCTTAAACTTTAATTATTTTCAAAAATCAGGGCTGGGTTATATGTAGCTCAGTGGTAAAGCATGTGCTTAGCATGCACAAAGCCCTGGGTTCAATCCCCAGCAACACATTAAAAAAAAAAAAAAAAAACTCACTTGATTTTATCTATATGAGTAAAGCAAATTTTGAGTTTGAAAATTGATTTATAAATTTTTGAATTACCCCTACTTCTGGGGTCCTATTTCTTGTATTGATTTTACCACTGCTTTTCAGGTGAAAGAGATAATTTCATATCCTTATTTTAAGAAGATAATGTAGTAAATCTTTGAGAGAGGGAGGGGGAAGGACTTGGTAGAGAATTTGGCCTTAAGTTAATTTTCTATTTTTTTAAAATTATCTGACCTGTTGTCTTATTTAATTGATATTCTTTGTTCTTTTATAAAATGGTCAGGAAACAAGTAAAAATGATGAGATAAAATCAAAATTTCAGAATTAATGATTTTAAGATTATGTACATATTGACCTCTGGAAAATATTAATTAAGAAATATTATTGATCATTAATAATATTTGTTTTAAATGTGTCCTATATCATTAGTCCTTTTCAATTTGGAATTTACTTCCTTAGAAGTCATGTATGTTATAAATGGGTAAATTAGTTTTCATGCCAATCTGAGTTTTTTATTTATTTTTTACTTTTTATTATTTTTTAAAATATTTTGTTTTTAGTTGTTGATGGACTTTATTGTCTTTATTTTTATGTGGTGCTGAGAAATCGAAACCAGTGCCTCATGCATGCTAGGTGAGCATACTACCACTGAACCACAACTGCATCCCCCAATCTGAGTTTTGTAAAAACCGTTTAGGATTACTTTGAGATTTCATTTACATCTAAGCACTGTTTATAAAATTGTTTCTATGCAAAAATTTATTCACAACTATGAATACCAGGTTACATCTTCCCTCGTTTGTGACAACATCTGGAATTGGATTGGCATATAAGTATTAAAAGTTTGAGTATTAGAAGGTAGTAAAAATTCTTCTAGTCCATAGTAATATATATTAACAAAAAACAAAGTGTCTGGTTCATCAGGGGTCCAAGATTGCAGCATCAAAAAGCAATTGCTCTAGACTCTTAATAGCTATTTCCATTCATAAATCAAATGTTTGTCAGTTGGAAAGATGAAGTTAACATCATTTTCTATTTTCTGTTCCTCAACTTAGTGGCTAATTCTTTTAATTACCAGTACGTATGATTATGATTTATACTTCAAATTTATTTTCAGTATTAAGGTTTTCTGATTGGGTCTTCAGTTTCTTCCTTCTTTTAATTTTCTACTAATACATTATGCACAGGACATTTATTTTGTGGATTAGTTACTCAATTGGTATTTTCTAAGAAAAGATAATTTTTAGGTTCATAACCAATTATTAGGATGCTGTAAAGCTGTTTTCAAACCCTGAAAAAAACTCTCCTCTTATTGTGTTCCTCTGAAGGAAGTTGATATATGAAGGAAGATTAGCTAATCATCTACTTTTATGAAGATGTTAAAAGCAATGACAGTTTTTTTCAGGGGAAGGGAAGGGCTCAAAAGTAAAAAGTAAAATCTTTAGTTCTAATTTTATTATAGATATTTCTGAATAAAGAGGAAAGAGAAAATCCTTGGAATATGTAGTTTACCTTAAATTGTAACACTAACAAAGGAAAATAACTTTAATTTTGTTCTAGTACTCTGTCTATAGAGATAAGATGTATTCCATATTTGAGGTTCCAGATGAGAAAACAAGTATCAGCTGTGTATCAAATTATGAAGAATCTTAAGAACTTTGATTCATGTACCCTCCTATTGACAAGAGGCAACAAAAATTTCTCTAGTAATCATAGTATTAACAACTCTCTAGTTAGTATTTTGCTAATATTTTAAAGTAATATTCATGCTTTGTGATCTTACCTTGGGTTTTACTCACAGATCTTTTTTTTTTTTTGGGGGGGGGGGGGGCTGAATCCAGCCTGTTTACTCACAGATCTTTAAGCAGAGGAATGGTATGAGAAATCTCAAAGTTATGTAACTCTCTGCTTCTTTTAGATGGGTAGGCTGTTAGTTGCTTTTCAACTCAAAAATACACATTTAAAAGTGCTTAATGAATATCTTTTCTGGAGTGTGGTATGAAATTAAAGAACCTTATATAACATACATACACTTCTCTTGGAATATAAAGGAATATAAATATTAATTTTTTCATTAATTTTGTTTGGCTTTAGGTTTACCTAAAACCAGATCCCTAAAGAAAATCTCCCACAATTAGTTTACTGAAAATGAATTTACTAATCTAGCAAATCATTTTGAGTTGTCAGAAGTCATTGTAGCCCAAACCCAGAGAGTAGTAAATATCAAATGTACATCTTAAAATTTGTCTAGTTTGCATCCAGGTTTCGAAAAAATAAGATGGTGAAAACCAGATAGGTTGAATGATGGATTCAATTACATGTCCTTTTTCTCATGTAGAAGACATTCTGTTGTAGTTAACTTTGAATTGGATTTTGGGGGAAAAAAGAGAAAACTGAGAGTTTTTGTGTAGTTATGCTTTTTTTTTTTTTTCTGAAATATAGCTCAAAGCCTTGCCTTTTTTGTTTTATAATGAAAATGTGATTGTGTTTTATTATATGTTTTGTTTTGTTGCTTTTTATATAAGAAACTGTTCTTAATAAAACTATTTGACATGCATTATTTTGCCATATATTAGCATTTTGCTACTTTAAACAACATTTTCTACAATTTAGTATTTGGCTTCAAATGGTCAGAAGAGGGAAGTAAAATAAAAAATAAGTTGAATATCACTTTCCTAAGTACTAAATATTGTATTTCACTACCTCTGGTGTTTCTCTAACATACTCAAAATCTAACATACTCTTTATTGTACATAAATGAACTAAAAAATATACCTCTAAAAGCATTTTATTTTAAAAAAATTTACTTAGCAAAATAATATTTTATTACTTTTTTGTTCTCAATTATTGTGACACATATCATTTTGAAATTGGGTTTTATATCCAGAAAAATGAATTAAAGTAGTAATTTCAAAGGATATTGTATAGTTTGACAGCATCTTCTTTTAATGAATTACCTTCAAAGATAAAACCCTTAAATACCATCTATCAGTGTCACTGCTTAAGTGTCTTCAAATAGTGTTAGTATGTCCTTCTACTACAGAAGACTACATTTTTAACTATTTTTGAGAAATCCTATAATAAAAACTATTATTTTAAATTGCTCTTTTCTCATTTATAATTTAAGATACATGATTAGTAGTTTTAATTCAAAATGAAATAGAAATGAAATATTTAATAAATATTAAATACTTAAAACTTCTAGTATGAGTAAATCATTTAATATAAAAATCAGTATATAGATGGTCACCACATGACTTAAATCATAGTCACTTTTAGACTTTGAATAACTTTTTTAGAGATTTTTTTTTTAATGAAGAAGGAACAAGTTAAAGTGACTCAGAAAAAATAAAATGTAGTATACAAGAATAGAGTATATTTTAATGCTTAACACATTGAGTACAAATTTTCTTTAAAAACATTAAAATGTCCATGTGTTGTCTTTTGGAGGTCAGGAGAAATAGTTTTCCAAGAGAACACTTTTCACAGTTGAAGGAACTTGGAGGTTCTGTCCCAGTGAAGTTCCAGTGGTTTTAGTTCAGGCAGCTTATATTGTAGATTCATTGTCAAATATCTTACTTTTTAAGGTCTGTAGATTGTGTTGAATAAAATTCTCTGTGCCTTGAACTTCAGAGAATCTGTAGTCACTTCTCCTAACAGACCAGTTTTTCATTTTTATTGAATTCTGAATGGTGTCTGATGTAAAATAGTAAACTATAGGGTCAAAACAACAGTTGGAAACAGCAATGCAGAGAGTGATGGGATACATTGTCCTTACAGCTGCCACTACTGAGCAATTAACAAGTGTATGTGTTCTCATAAGAGAATATAAAATAAGATTGATATTATAAGGCACAAAACAGAAACAGAATATGACCAAATGAACGAAAATCATTTTTAAAACCTTAGTTTTGCTTATTTTGCTTCTACTTAATGTAACAGGTTTATTTAAAGTTCTTAGCACCATACTAGAACAAGTTACGTTCAAAATTAGAGGAATAAAAAATCCCACTATTTCGATGAAAATTACAATCCTTGAAAGATATGTTTTCCAAGTAGCTTCTGGAAAGTTTTCAAAGCAGGCTTCTGAGGTATTGTTGCCCCGAGAGTGGGTAGACTGAAAAAAAACTGCTGGTGCACTTCCTCCGATCACAGTTAACCACACAGCAATGCAAACAAACTTTGCATTTCGTTTGGTTCTTAGAGTCTTTGACTTAAATGGGTAGACAATTGCCAGAAATCGATCTACACTAATGCAGGTTAAGAACAGAATGCTTCCATACATGTTGGTATAAAACAACATCACAGAAATCTTACAAAGCAAATCTCCAAATGGCCAATTTCGTGTTGCAAAGTAGAAAATCCTGAAGGGTAAAGTAAAAACGAAAAGCAAGTCTGACATTGCCAAGTTAATCATGTACGTGGTAGTTTCATTTCGCACTTTGAGGGTGCAGATGAAAATGTATATGGCAACACAATTGGATATTAAGCCAAGCACAAACACCATGCTGAACATGCACCCATATAAAGTGTACTTAAAGGAGTCATCATAGGGGCATTGAGAGCTGTTAGCGCTTACCATTATAAAGGCACTTCAAACTTACAGTAAGAAATTGCGTAGGTCCCTGGTCCCTGGCTGTAGTCTCCTTTGATATTCAGATTGCTACCACTATAACATCCAATTTATTCGCAAATTATTTGGATCTTTGGGTGGTTTTATAAATATTTCCTTTTTCTCCAAAATATATGAAAGAAACATGAAACTTGTTGCTGTAAAGTTTCCAGTAGATTCTTCAACAGGAAAATATTTTTATTTTCTAGTCTCCAGAAAATCCATGAATCCAAGCTTTAGTTAACTGATGGGAAAATGCAGTCAGTGAAGCCAACCCACAGGATTGCAAATGAAAAGAAAAGCTGTGTTCTAAGATGGGTACACAGCTCTTTGTCTTATAAACTTGTATTTCAGTAGTCAAGATGAGTATTTCAGAATCAGAGTTCCTTTACAATCCACAATGTTTAAGCTTAAATGATTAATCTTATTTATCTTTTCAATGCAGAGTTTCAGAGACTTAAACATTCCCAATTAGTCCTTTTTTCTTGCTTGCTTCTTTTAAATGATGTTTTCCTTTCTGGTATTCCTGCAGTAGATTCTAGATGGCCACAAGCAGAAGAATCTTTTGAAAGTTCTGAAGTAAATTCCTAAGCAAGTTAGCTCTTGTTGAATTGAGTCCTTTTCCACGGTTGCCAGCTGTATTGTGAGATGGGCTTTCTCTGAAGTGAAAAAAGAAAGGCTTGCTCGATTTGTAATATGACATCACAGGAAGAAGAGGCTGGGTTTGGACAAAGAAAGGTTTCAGCCCAGTTTGTTTGCAGTTCCTTTAATCTGATAATGTTTCTGCTGGGAATATACCTAGGAGGCTTGCAAATGGTCACTGGTTAGTTAGTTGGACCAGCTGCCCATTAACTCTTTTATGTGGAAATGCCTTCTGGGGTTCTGGCAACCTCTGAAGAGTTGTTTTTGTTTTGTTTTGCTGGGGTGGTAATAACTGAGAGGGGGGAAAACAGTTCAAGCCTGTTTCTCTTATTCTGTTGCTTTTGTATTTAGGATATGATTTTTTTTTTTTTTTAGAAATAAATATTATATGAATGTGTCAAATTCAGATTTTTAGTAATGTCTTAACATGGCATTTTAAAGAACTGTTTAATGTCTGAAAGAGAGACCTTTAAACTTTTATATATAAAGGATTTAACTGAGAAACCAATGACAGTGCTTCCACTCTTGGCTTCTGTTTTTTTCTAATTACGTTTTAAGATTTATCTTAAGTGGTATGATTGTAAGTAGCTTTAATCCTGTGTCTCTTTAGGTTTTGATAAATAATTTGCTAACATTTCTCTTTCCTATGAAGCTGAATTAATATTTTAGAGTTATTTCAATTTTTAAATTACCCCTTTCACCAAAGAATAAATTTAAGAATGTTTATTTTTGTTAGAGGTATAGCTCAGTGGTAGAGCATATGTTTAGAACATGTGCTTAGCTAGCTTGTTAAGGCCTGGGTTCCTTACCCAGCCTTCCCCACCAAAAAAGTTTATCTTTGATTTTGGTGTATTAATCTTATTTTACCTATGATTTAAGCACAAATGAAGGTGCATTTTTTTAATCAAAGTTTTACCCCTAAATTGATTGAAATAACTTTTGGAGAATTAATTCTAATACTTGGCTAATAATAATTTTATGTTTGTTTTCCTGTAACTCTTCCCTGAGTCCCCATAATACTATATTAACTATATGTTGGAATGTATTTTACATCTTGTTTTCATTTAAACTTTCCCATAAATGGTTTTGCTATATAATTATATTTAGAATATACTCTTATTTATTTACTTTTTGTAGTACTAGGGATGAACCCAGGGTCTCATGCATGCTAGATAAGTGCTCTACCACCGAGGTACATTCCTAGCCCTATTTTTATTTTTAGACAAGGTCTTGCTAAGTTGCCTAGGCTGACCTAGAAGTTACCATCCTCTTGCCCCCGCCTCCTGAGTAGCAGTGATTATAGGCCACTGTACCCAGCTTGTATATTCATATCTTAAAACACACCAAATCAGAAGGACATATATGGTGGAGTTATAGTAATTGGTTGTAAATGTTATTTCCCAAAGGACTGAAGCTATCACAAACTAACACACATTTTTTTCTTGTTTTAAACTACTTTTTTTTTTTTTTTTTTGGTATCAAGGGTTGAATCCAGCAGTGTTCTAAATCTGCTAAACACATGCTCTATCACTGAGCTGTATCCCTACCCACTAATTTTTTCTGAAAAGTCTAGATCCAGTTGTGTTTTTTAATTTTGTTCAGTTTGGATCAAAACTCTTACTTTTAGGAATTTTAGAGAAATTTATCTTTCCTTCATAAATTACTTAGTTAACTTTAAAAAGGTTACAGTAACATGTTTTATACTGTTTTGCACCTTTTAAATTTGAACTGCTTTCATGCTCAGCAACTTTTGTTGATAAGTTGTAATCTATTTCTATTGTTTTTTACTAGGAAATTAATTTACAATCAAATTTACGAAAACATGAGTTATTTATAACCAATAGACTTAAAACATTGAGGGTCTGAATTTCTTTGTATTACTTTTGGTGTGGAAAAACGTGTATGTGTTTATATTAGAAGGCTGGTAGAAACTTTGAGTGGGCAGTAATGAAAAAAGAAGTAGTTAATAAACTTGTATTCTCATTGGAGAAAAATTTTCAGTTAATATTTTAGAAAAACAAAAAAAATCTTAGTAGGTGTTTTCAAATTTATAGTCTCCTTTTTAGTCATCTTTAAATAATGCAACGTATGCAGTTATATGCCCTGACCTTGTTTGCTTTTACTTTCATTTTGAGTATAGAACTTTATCAAAGAATATTCTAAAACTTGAATATTCTTCTACATATTGTTGTTATTCACTTGACTTGATGTTTATTTAAATATTCATTTGTAGTTTTTTCATTTCTGAGTATTGGTGCTTAAAAATGAATAGATCACTATTTGTGAATTAAGTGTTTCATTATTATCAATATATTAGTATATGTTTGTGTTTCTGATTCTCAGCTCAATTCTTGACCCTTAGTAGACACTTACATGTTTGCTGATGATTCATATCAGTAAACTTGAATTTTGTTGAAACTTGTTTTTACTGACGAAGAGCAGTAGCAAAGGGGCTGTTTCAACAGGATCAACATAATTGAAAGCTGGTTTTCTGATTTTTTTTTAATTAGTTTATTTGACTTCTAGCCTAAGGAACCAAAGTGAAATCTGATATCTTGAAAAATCCTTAGGTTAAGATTTTTTAAAATAATTACTTACAAAGAGAGTTCAACAAATCCAGGGCATTAAATATATTTAATATGTGCTTTTCTATTTGATAGGCAATCTGTTATTTTTACATTTCTAGAAGTCTGGGAATCAGTTCTTGTATGGATTTTTGGGGGAGAATGAAATAAGAAAATCAGAATCAGAAGTTGCAGTGGTGAAGACAAATTTTATTCAGGACTATTACAGTAATATATATGTACAGTTTATTTGAAATATAGTTTTCAAAGCAACCAATTTGAAATGTAGTAAATCTCAATATGTAACTAATCACTTTTTAAAATTTAATACCTTAAGAAGCTGGCTAAATAACCTAGCCTGTAAAGTAGTTCTGTTTTATCAGTGAAGTAGTGGTCTAAATCTTTTAGTTGTGTAATTAAAAAAAAAATCACAGTATTTTGAGAAAATTTTAACTATCAATTTAAGGATTTGGGTAACTACTGAGTTCTTCACTAAATTTTAGTGTAACTGTAGCTCTGATAAGACAGAGAATATGATTTTCCAATGTTGGATTCCAAGTTAGGTTCAAAACTATGTTGTGTGAAACTTTATTGAACACCAGTGTAAATAAAGCGTAAAGGGTTTCTCAACCATTCTTTTCTTTCTCTACCTATTTCTGAACTTGATAGTAATATCAGTTTTATCTTGCCCCCTTTTCATTCTCACTGCCATTTTTTTAAAGATAAACCCAGTCACTCTATCTATATGATTATTATAATGTGTTACCTAATCTTCCTATTTCTAGTCCTACTGTCTTCCACTTGCCCCCTGCTAGACTGTCACAGATCAACTCATGAATGAATAAACTAATTATGCATTTATTCTCTTCTTGCTTGCAAAGAGAACTTAAAAATTATAATTTTGAAAATGAATATACTGTCTCCAGGCATGGTGGCCCAATTATAATTTTTAAGTTCTTTTTGCAAGCACCAAATGTCAAATTCTGGGGAAACATTATTTATTAGTAGATTAATTATATGTGGTGATTTGGTTTAATACTGAAGTAAGTTTGACAGTCTTGGTGCATAGGATCTGCACCTGGGAACCTTGAAATCTCTGAAACCCTTTTGTATAGGCTGACCCCCACCTCTGCCCTAGTTGGGGACTGGTTTCATAACCTTTCTGAAATTCTCAAGCACTGTGACTAAAAACAGATAAGAAAATCAGATCTGAAGAAATGTAGTCTCAACAAGTCCTGCAGGCTATTCCTCTGAAGTATCTGGAAATATCTGTGAAATATTTTGAAAGTTTTTCTCTATAAAGGGACGAACTAGAAAGACTCTAGATTGTAAAATACATACATATGTATATTATATGTAAAAACATACATATATAATACATATATATATATATATATATATATATATATATATATATATAAAAAAATAGAAAAGTGTGAGAGTGTTGTACAAAGAGTATTAAGAGTATTAGAGAGAGAATCAGAAAAGCTGGATAGTCCATCATTTGACCTTTCTAGGAGTCTGCTTTCTTGACTGTAACAAGAAGGGAGTTGAACTGTACAAAGGTCCCTTCCTGCTTCCATATCTGATTCTGATTCTTTGAATACTTTGAATGTTTAAGCGGCCACATTGGGTTTTTTCACTTTAAGGTAAAACAAATGAATAATTTTTTATTCTTAGTGTTTAAGGATTTCCTGATTTTGAAACCAGGCTGTACAAGGAAATGTATATGAAGTATTTTTTGTTTCAGCCTAGAGTCTAATGAGAAGATTTTCTATTTTGCATTACTATAAAGATTAAATGAGCTGGAGTTGTGGCTCAGTGGTAGAGCGCTTGCCTAGCACGTGCCAGGCCCTGGGTTCAATCCTCAGCACCACATGAAAATAAATAATAAAATAAAGGTGTTGACAACTACAACTAAAAAATAAATATTAAAAAAAAAGATTAAATGAAAAAACCCTTTCCTGTTTATCCTATATATTTCTATAGTTTTCTTTCTTAAAAGATCTCTCCTTTTAAGTAATCTTCCATCCATATTCTTTTACTGTGAGATTTTTGGAAATACTGTGGAATTGATCACAACCTTAAATTATTATCTCATTAAAAGTTTTGAAAGCTATTATTGGAGTTGTATCCAAAATAACATAAAGAATAGGGGATGTTCCAAAAAATAAAATGGATGAGAGAGTATGTGAAACTTAAGCTAAAATAAATGTGTTCCTGTTCAAAAGAACGTGTTGAACAGTAGTATTTTAAATGTTAGAGAGGACTGGAAATGTAACACAGTGGTAGAGTACTTGCTTATTATGTATAAGGCCCAGAGTTTAATTCCCACCACTACACACACACAACTTAAATGTAAGAAAAAATTCTTCTATGTTTACTAGTTTTGAATGAAGCAAATGTTTGCCATGGTGAGATGTGAATCTTTTGAGTTCTTTTCTAATTTACACTTATGAAAAAAGCAGTTTTCTCATTTGGATTCTTTTGAAGC